CAACTATCTGAGGTTCCAGCAACATCAGAGCTCCAAATGCTCCACATCTTCAACACTTGCTTTTGTTTGTTTTGTTTCTATGGGGTACTGTAAGAAATCATTTATTCTCGCACATACCCCCACGTGAGTTTCACACAAGCTAAGCACCCTACATCCCCAGCCCTCCTCTTGTTCCTTTTGAACAAGTTCTCACTAACTTGCTCAGGATGGTCTTGCTCTGTAGACTAGACAGGCCTTGAACCTGAAATCCTCCTGCCGCAGCCCATGTAGCCTGTGCCACCACGGTCTAATAGAGAATAGCCATTCTAATGACTGGAAAATAACTTCTCACCGTAGCTTTGACTTATATTTCTTTAAATATTAATGATGGTGAACATATTTTCATGTGCTTGTAAGCCATTTGTACATTTTTTGGGGGGGGGGAGTCAAGTTTACATAGTTTTAATCTATTCTAAAAGCATATGCTTCAATGAGAAAAATCCCTTAGGCATTCTGGCATTCCTGCAGCATGCGCCTGAGTATCATCACTGCATAGTTCTCACATGCTTTATATGACAAAGGTTTGGCTCATTTCTCTAAAAAGCAGCACTATGTAAAATGGAGTCAGTTGAGTTTCATCAATTCTTCTGTTGTTTTCCTTTTGTATAGGAAGCCAGTATCTTACTTTGTAGTACGGATTAGCCTAGAACATGCTACATAAACCAAGCTTGCTTCAATTTGCAGTAATTCTTTTGCCTCTGTCCTGGGCGATGGCATTACAGAATTGTGCCAGCAAGTTCAGCTTATCCCTAGTCAGCCTGGAATTATTCATGTAGATCAGGATGGCCTCAAACTTACTTAAATCTCTGCCTTTTGAGTACAGGGATTACAGGCATACACCACCACATCCACTTAAATCAGCTGATTCTTAGGGGGTAAGAACTTATATTTACTGATTTGACTCTGTGTGTGTTCATGAGCACAATGAAGTGTCACAGCATACATGCAGAGGTCAGAGAAAGACTTGGAGATCTGATCTCTCCTACCAAATGGGTCCCAGGGATCAAACTCGGGTCACTAGGCTTGGTTCAAGTACCCTGCTGAGCCCTCTTGCAGGCCCAATCAACAAGTCTTTATTCAGGTTAGTGGAATCAATTTACTATTCCAAAGAATAGGTAATGTATTCAGTTGATAAAGATACTACACCTCTCAGGCAAGTCTTTATCAATTTAAATTCTTACAAGAGGACTGGGATTACATTATTCAGTGAAGATATTGTCCTTAGAGGGAGAAAAAATATGTATGGGGGAGGATTAAGGACCAAGCGATAGCACATGCAGTGGGAACAATCCATTATTCTTAACTGTGTACTTTGCTGGACAGTGGTGGTACATGCCTTTAACCCCAGCACTCGGGAAGCAGAGGCAAGTGGATCTCTGTGAGTCTGAGGCCAGCTTAGTCTACAAAATGAGTTCCAGGACAGCTAGGACTGTTACACAGAAAAACCCCGTCTCAAAAAAATAAAAATAAAATAAAAAGAATATGTGCTTTGCCTGGCAATGGTATCACAAGCCTTTAATCCCAGTTCTTGGGAGGCAGAAGCAGGCAGATCTCTGAGCTCCAAGCCATCATGGTCTACAGAGTGAGTTCCAAGACTGCCAGGGATACACAGAGAAACTCTGTGTACAGAGAGACTCTATGTTGAAAACCAAACCAAATCAAACAAAAAACAACAACAAAACAAGTCTTAAAGGACTGTGTGCCTTTAAGAACAAGTTCATGCAACTATACTATCATAGAGTAACACTTTCCAGAGCTTATACTGCCAAAATTATGGTCAAATCAACTTCAGAAATCTGTACATCCAGAGCCAATAACTTTCTTAATTTCCAAACAATCACTGAATTTCTAAGACCAGTTTTTGCTCTAAAATGTTTGATGCACAAGCAGAAAGACCTTCGTGCACATTCCCAGTGTCCAAGTAAAAAGTCAGCACGGCACTGGGGAATCCCAGTACTGGGGAAACTAAGACAGCAGGATCTTTGGGGTTTGCTGGCCAGTCATTCTGACCAGCTGGCAAGATGGGTTCAGTCAGAGAACTCATCTCAAAAAGTGCAGCAAGAACAGAAGTTTGCACCTGACCTCATCCCCTGGCCTCCATCTTCACCACATGACCACACAAACACACACACACACACACACATTACTCAATTATTCAAACAGCTAATATTTATCAACTAAAATATGATCCCAATTTAATTTGTAATAGGAAGCAAATAAAAAAGAATGTTCCGTATAGAGAGGATCCCACTGTACTACCTCATTTCCCCTCCCCTGTGTTCATTTATTCATCAACCACCTCTTAGGTGCTTAGCACTTATAGGCAAAAAAGCATAGATCCCTGCCTCTGTGTAACTTATTTTTCAAATGGTTTTAAGATTCACTTTTTTGGTATTGTTTGTGAATGGTCTTACTATTTGAACCTGTGACACTCCTGTCTCAGCCATTCAAGTTTTGAAATTAGAGGCATGGCATGAGCCACCACACCCAGCTGTGACTTTAGATTCACTTTGGTTAAATGTGAAACATACCAGAAATTTATTTTTGCAACAGTATTCAATAAATCTAATCATAAAAACTCATGTAATTTCTAATATGAATGTGAAAGAGCTAAAGTCTAAAGAAATGCAAGCCCAGTAGCCCTGAGCACTCTAACAACCACTAGTCAATCTATAAAGAGTCTTCCTTCAGAGTCAGCCAGTATGAAGCTAAAATGACCCTGCCTAAAATATAAGGGGCTGCATTACTTGTCGCCTGGTCCTCCAGAACACTTGTAAGGTGACCACTTCTTCTTAATTGCAAGTGTTGACGCTCGATGTGTATATCAGTAGTGGAATGCCCATCCAGAAGAGGAGATGGGACTCTGGCCCACTGATAATACTTAATATTTTAAATGTCCTAAAAGTGGCAAACAAACTATCTCTAGCTATCTGTATATCATTTGGCTACATTTCTGTTGTTTAGACAAATACTGTCAACATAGTAGCCAGTAGCAACATCTGACAACCAGACAATTGAAATATGTCTAATATACATTGAGATGAGTGGCCCATACAGCTCCCACACTAGAGGAAAACAATGTAAAATACCTGTTTGAAGCAGGCTGCATAAAAGTACATCTTTGATGAGGTAAAGAATACTATTAAATTTTTCCTTTGTGACTACCAAAGTTTAATTACACGGGTAGCTCACAATTCTTTCATACAGCACTCTTTTAAGACAGTAGAAAAAGTCAAATTTCTGCTCAAAGCTAATGTATGAATGTGTTTGAGCTGTACTCAGAACTGTCAGAATTGTGTTGATTTTCTCAGGCTACTTTATTCAACATCTCATTCCAAAACATCAAATGTTTTCATATCAAAATGTGTAAATGTCAGAGGTTACAGTCAAATTATTTAGCAGAACACCAGCAAATATTTAAGTGGCCATTCTGTACAGGACACATTCAATCCATAAAGCAACATATTCTGTCACACAGCAGTAGCACAAAGGCCATAAATTTTGCACAAATCTGCACGTGCTCCTACAAAGTACCTGGCACCATTGCTAAGTGCTTTGCTCTCAACGACCTATAAAACCCTCACAAGCATCACACACAGTAGATACTGTTACACTGTTTAATACTATTTTAAGACATTGTAGCCAAAGTTGCAGTTAGTAACCTGTGGACTCAGGATTCCAACACAACAGACTACAAGTGAAACAACCTATTTTCCCAAGTGGAAGGACAACAAACAAGACTATGTATGAAATCTGGACCGGAGATGTAGCTCAGCAGTCTGCCTACCAAGCATGAGACTAGCTTCAATCCCCAGTACCTGGGAACAGGCAGCTTGGGAGCTGAGTGATCAACTTTCACTAAAAAACTTTGCTTCCTACTTCCCACCTCATCCTTCTGGGTGGCACGTTTTTTAAAAATTGACCATATGCTGGGTTGTGGTGGGAGACACCTTTAATCCCAGCACTCGGGAGGCAGAGGCAGGCAGATCTCTTCTGAGTTGGAGGCCAGCCTGGTCTACAGAGCAAGTTCCAGGACAGGCTCCAAAACTACAGAGAAACCCTGTCTCACAAAAACAAAAACCTGACCATACACTAAATTCTCTTTCAGAAAGGCTGTCTCCCCTCTGATCCAATTTATACTTGTCTTTCAGGCTTCATCTGAAACTGTCCATGCAAAGCTATTCAGATTCCCCACAATTTCGACTAGACCCTTTCCTCCCTCTGCTCACTATAGTGCTTTGCACACTACTGTGACTGTCTTCATCAGAGTGGTCAAGGGGTCTATTGTATCCTTCACATTTCCCAACACCTTTAACAGTGCTTAGCATTAGGTGCTCAATAAATATTTGCTGATCTAACCACCTGACTCACCCAGCTACACCTCAAAGCAAACTCGGTTCTGTAAGTGTTAACCCACAAAGCAGAGGGCAAGTTTAAGCTTCATGAAATTTTGACAATCCCTCCCACTAGTAAGGTAAAACAACTTATTTTAATAAAAACTTGTTTGTTCACTCTAATTTCAGTAAAACTTATTTTATATGAATGAGTTTAAGTTATTGATAAATACCTGTCCTAAGGAAATCCAGGCCGATTTCAGTAAATTGGTTGGAGTCAATTTGAGTTTCACAATTCTTAAGAGCTGAAAACCCACTACTGCTGCTTCTTTAATCTCATCATGAAATCAGTTACATTTATCACAACGTTTCCTGCACTGCCCTAATTCTGAAGCTGAGGTCCAAAAATGATAGACACAGGATACTTTAAAAATGGGGGGTGGAGGTAGGGGAGATGTTTCATGTACAGTTATTTTGACAAAATTAGTATTGGTGCCAGAGTCAAAACGACTTTCTTGGAACCTTCCCTTTTCATTTCCGAAACAGGAAACTCATTTAAAAGGTCAGCCCCCGCGCCCCAGCTTTTACTTCCATACCAACTAATTCCAAAATATGAGATAAAAGTACATTAGAAGTCCTTAGGCCCAAGACCGGCGAAACATTTCCCTGTAAATTCTAGCGTCAAGCAAAACACGAGAACTTGACTTGATTCCATCGGGTTGAAAACAGAAGAAACCGACCATCTCCCTCCGACTACTGCTTCTGCTGAGGTCTTGAAAAACCACTGTGAGCCAATCATGCCACATTCCCACCCCAAGCACGAAGAGCCTCCGATTGTTTGACACATCAATGGTTTAGTCAAGACAGCCAACTCACTCCCCCCTCACCGCCCCTCTCATTTTCCTTAATGATTCTGCAACTCTCAAGTTTACTCCAAGTCACAGCCAGATGGAATATACTCTGTGACACCAAATATAAATTCGGGCATTTACCACGTAGCCAGCAATGCTTCAACTTCAACCACTAAAATATGCCTATTACAAATATCACATCAAACAACTTCACCCGATTATGGAAAGGCCAGTCGAGTCACTTAAAGAAACAGGATTCTGGAACGCTGCTAAATGCTGCTGCATATTCTGTGCCAGCAGGCAACGAACAGAGAAGGAGACTTGAAAGCAAAGACCGGATGGAAAGCATGGGAAGACCCCGCCCCAGTAAGCGCTATTCCGATTCCAACAGTAACTTAGGTCTGTCGTCTGGAATCGGAATCACTGGAACAAAGGCGTAAATTCCGGGAAGCAAGACGTCTGGCATAAAAGAAAACGGCTCGCGGCTACAGAGCCCCCACACCATCCTCCCACAGGTCTTACCTATGGTGGAAATAAAGGTGGTATTGAAGGCATCATCCGAAAAACGAAAAAGGACGCAGGTCTTGCCCACTCCCGAGTCCCCGATCAGGAGCAGCTTGAAAAGCAGGTCGTACGTCTTCTTCGCCATTGGGAGGAGCGGCTCGGGCGCTCGCCGCCGGTAGTCCCAAGGGATCGGTGCTGCTCACTACGGCCAACTCCTCACCCGGGCGTTCTGGGGCCGCAGCAGCGGGGAAGCGTATGCCAGGGAGAAAGCAGCTCTCGAGACGGAGAGGGAGACCTTCCGAACGGCCTCGTCGAGGAAGCCCCGACGGTGGCGGCGCCCGTGCCTCCGAGGGGCGGCGCCCGCGGCTCCGCAGCCTCTCCCAGCCGCTCCGCCCGGTTCCGGGGAGTCGGTCGGGACAAAATGGCCTCCCCTCCCCCCCTCAGCGCGGCTCGGCCGGGACGCTCCCACGGGCGAGCGAGCGAGCTTTACGTCGAGGGAGCGCGGCGGGCTTGGACACGGCCTCCGCCCGGAGTACAAACTCCGCGCTAGGACCCGGGCGAGGGCGGCGAAGGAGGTCTCGCGAGCCGACGAGCCCTGCTACATAACCCCAGGAAACCGAGTCGCCCCGGCCAGAGCCACCTTTTTCCCCGTGCCCTCTCACGCCGGCGTGCGCGCTGCCTGAGACGCACGCAAGGACGTACACCCGCCCTTCTCTCGCGCCCTCGCCCCTGCGGCCCGCTCCTGCGCACGCGCGCGGGAGGGCATGTAGGGCACGCGGAGGTGGGACCAGAGAGGGCGAGGCCGCGGGCGCGCTCCCTGCGGCCTTCGGATTGGCTGCGCGGCCAGACTAACCCGCCTCTCGGGAGGCGCGGCCGGGGGACTGCGCAGGCGCACTGCGTCCGTGAAACCCCTGCCCTTTCTTCCTCCCCCCCCCCCTTTGCCTTTTCCGGGGCGCCCTGCTGATTGCTGGGATCCTCTGCTCCTCCTCAGTCTTCTGTTGTGGAGCTAAGGATGTTGGCTCAGCGACGTGCGTGGGTGGCCACGCGTCCCTGTGTATGTGTAGTTCGTAGATGTGAGAGAATGGAGTGCACCATGGCCATTCAAGAACCTCCTTACTAAAACCAGACGTCTCCAGAAGGGCCCTTGCTTGTGAGCCCGTCGTGGCATCGCGGTCTCCTCAAGGAGCTAGAGTTCGAAGGAGCCGGAATTCCAAATTGAAAGATCGCAGCGCTTCTGGGATCGGAATGATGTCATCGGCCTGAGGAACCCCGGGTGCGGGGAGAACCTCCCTGCGAATGGAATCTTCGCTGCTCCAGGCCTAAACAGTCTTGGAATCCCCTCGAGCTGGAGCGCTCTAGACAAGAGAAGGCGGGGCCCGGTCACTGTTGCCAAAGTTGTACCACTAAGTCGAAAATGCAAAAGCCTGCCCCATCCCAACCGATCTCGTCTTTGCTTTTCACTTGTTTGTAGGTTGGTTATTTTGTTGAAAAGTCCGGCTGTGCACCGTACCCCCATGCTGGCCTCCAACTCATGATTCTCCAGAGTGCTTCTCTCCTGGGCTTGCACTACCAAAACCTATGCCATGTCTTTTCATCTGCCTTACCCCTTCTTCCCTCTCTCCCTATCTGTCTTATTTACACTTGCCTTTTCCCGTCTTCCTTTCTGTAGTTGAAATAGCCATGTTTCTAAGCTACCTTTCTTAGTAGGTTCCATCACTCCAGCACATATAGGATGTGGTTGATGGCAGAATGGTTGAACCTGGTGATCTGGTTCAACTTGGGACATCTAGAAACAAATAGATTTTGTTTTCCTAAGAGAAGTAAAAGCTACATTTTAACGCACATCTCACCATCACCAAAATGTACATTTCATGTGTAACATAAATAAGCTTTTAATCATGTTCTTTTGTGACCATCTCAGTTCTGATCGTGTTCTTAAAAGAGTTGCCTTCCTTCTAACACCCCTAAAGCTATGACAATGTTTGCATTCCCTAAACCATCTCCCTCTAGTTGATGCACTGATTGCTCTTAGTTTTATCATTAAACTATATCCTCGGAATTATTCTTTCTCCAGTTGGGAATGTCTTAACGATAGCATAAATCAACAATTCTATGTAAATTGCAGGTGAGCACTGGCTTTTTGGGTTTGTCATTCAGTCATAATCCTGAGCACCCCAGGAAAACCTTCAAGGAGTTGGGAATGTAGCTCAACTTTGTAGAGTATTTAGCATAAGTGAAGCTCCAGGTTCAACATTCACCTGCTTCCCCCTCCCAGATACTGAGTTTGTGGGCAGCTTCCACACCTGCTTGAATGTTACGGGTTTGTTTTTATGATAGCTGAATTTAGAAAGCAATGCCATTACATAAATTTGGGAAGTAATGGACTGCTAAAAATAATTCTTTGAAAGTTCATTCTCTGTCCCAGTTGTTTCCAAAATCCATAGTCTGAAATTTTGCAAATTATTTGGTTATGTTTATTAACAGTTGTTTTTATTCTTAAATCAGGATTGTAGAAGGTACAGCGGGCCGCTTCCCAACGCCCGCCAGGCTAGCTTTACCTGAAATAATTGCACAGAAACTGTATTCATTTAAACACTGCCTGGCCCATTGGTTTCAGCCTCTTATTGGCTAATTCTCACATTTTGATTAACCCATTTCTAATAATCTGTGTAGCACCACGAGGTGGTGGCTTACCAGGAAGGATCTTAACCTGCATCCATCTTGGAGAGGAGAGCTATAGTGTCTGCCTTACTGCCTTCTTCCTCCCAGCATCCTGTTCTGTCTACTCCGCCTACCTAATTTTCTGTCCTATCAAAGGGCCAAGGCAGTTTCTTTATTAACCAATGAAAGTAACACATAGACGGATAACCCTCCATCACAGGATCATGGGATATAGAGCTATCCCATCTTTGAAATCATGATTGTGTTTGGATGTGGTACTAATGTCTGTGATCTTAGTGCTTAGGAGGCTGAGGCACAAGGATCAGACTCTGGCAATTATTGAGCTGTAGACACGGTCTCACTCACCCCATCCCACCCCATCCTCACAAAACTAAAAAAGGAATTGACTCTTTAGCTGTTGGGAACTGAACCCTTGTACACAGTGGGCAGGAGAGTCACCAACCTCTCTACCTGACTTCTTGCTCTTTGGTCTATACTCCACTCCTGGGTCATGCTGTTCTTCATAAGAACGGTATCTTTGCTTGAAAGGTCTTGCTGTATGTATCATCACCTAACTGTAAAACCTGCTTCTTCCAGTCTCTAGGACTTTTGCCTGTTTACTACTGCCCATTTCCTGTGTTCACACCCACAATCTTCTGCAGGGACTTCCTGGAGGAAGGTTTTCTTTAGACTGACCTGATTGCCAAGAGGCCACCACAGTTCTCACCAAGCCTGCCTCCCATTGGCAGTTGGCACTGAAGAGACGACAGGCCCAGGTAACTCCCCTAGCTCCTACAGCTCTCTAGAAAGCAGGAAGAGTTTTCTCTCCCACAGTTACTATTGTATCTTCTGGATTTCAAGGTTAGTTTAATGTAGTTCTCTCCTTGTAAAATGTACCTCAAATCACTTGCTATCCCTTCAGCCTTGAGTGTAAATGTTTCTCCCCTTAGCAACTCCTGCTGTAAGTAGCTTGTGTCCCTCTGAACCTCTTCAGTACTTCTCAAAATCAATTGTATTGTGGGGTGTGGTGGTATAGCCTATAAAATACTAGAACTTTGGAGGCATAGGTAGGAGGATCAAGGAAAGTTCAAGATAGAAACCAGCCAGGGCTACATAGTGAGAACCTATTTCAAAGAATAACAAGTAATAAATTGTATTTTTTAATTTAATTTCACAATTAATAAATATTTATTTTAGAAACTTCATGGTGGCTCATGCCTGTAATGTCAGCACTCAAGAGGTTAAAGATGGCAGATCTCTGCCAGTTCAAAGTCAGCCAGAGCTACATAGTGAGACCCTTCCCACCCCCACCCACCAAAAAAAGTTACAAAAAGTTTTTCAAGACAGGGTTTCTCTGTGTAACCGCTCTGACTGTCCTAGAACTTGATTTGTAGACCAGGCTGGCCTCCACTTCACAGAGATCTGCCTGCCCCGTCTCTGCCTCCTGAGTGCTGGGATTAAAGGCATGCACCATCACAGCCCAGCTTATTTTCAGGTTTTTTTTTTATAGTAAAGTTTATATTTAAAATAAGGATTTAGGTGTCTGGAGAAATGGCTCAGTGGTTAAGAGCACTGGCTGCTCTTCCCGAGGTCCTGAGTTTAATTCCCAGCAACAATATGGTGGCTCACAACCATCTGTAGTGAGATCTGATGCCCAGAAAGGCAGAGCACCCATATACATAAAATAAATAGTTTTTAAAGGATTTAAAGAGAAAATGGAAAAATAACACATTTGGGAAAAAGATGGAATAATTTTTCATCCTTTATTACTTTTAGGACATATATGAAAAACTCAACTCCACTGAAAGGCTTGTTTATCCTGTAAACATGATCAATGGTAAGGCTAATCAGGTAGCTGTGATTCAGCAGAATGTATTGAACTTGCAGCCAGATAACATGTATTTCAGAACTAGCTACAGTGCCTGGCTCTGTAATAAGGACGACTCATTTAACCTCATTCAGCCTATTCTGCTTATGTACCAAAGGGCATTTTACTCACAATGGTTCCAAAATTAAATAAGATGATGCCTGTTAATATGCTTTGTATAGCCAGAAGAGTATGCAAAGGTAAGTTTTTCTGTTATATTAAGAAGCAATGAGTTCTACCATAAGAGAAAGAGCAAAAACATTACACATTAGAAAACATAAATGATGGGCCAGTGGTGGTGATGTTGGCACACACTTTTAATTCCAGCCCTCTAGAGGCAGAGGCAGGAGGATCTCTGTGAGTTCAAGGCCAACCTGGTCTATAGAGCTAGTTTCAGGGCATCCAGGGCCATGCACTGAGAAACCCTGTCTTGAAAAACAAAACAAAACAAAACAAAAACCAAACAAACAAACAAAAAAATTATTAATGAGACCAGAGGAAAGAAAGTCAGCAGCTGAAGGCAGCAACCTCCCAACCGCCAAACTGCAGACTTCAGCAATGCCAGCTCTCTTTGCTCATGTCAGGGCCGTGGGCCAGCCAGATGGATCAGTGGGCATCATTGCTTAATGCACAAACCTGATTTTCCTGAGTCCTCAGAACCCATATAAACTGATTTCACAAAGTTGTCTTCTGACTTCCACGTGTGTCATGCTCTCACATATCACACACACACACAGGACTGTGCGCAAACACGCACACACACACACATACAATATGGCCCTGAGTTTTCTAGACCTAAGGTTCTATTTTTAGATCATTTTGTTGAAAGGGGACTTTGAGTAAGTTGCCCAACCTCTCGAATCCTTTCTCTCCATCTGTGAGCGAAACAATCCCAGGATTGTGTGAGGATTAAATGAGATGCAGTGTTTTGCTCAGAAATGTTTTTATGTTGTTACTCTTCTTGTTTTGGAATTTTTGGTTTGTTTGTTTCATGCTGAGGATTAAACCCCAGGCCACAATAATGTTGGGCAAGAAGTCTACCACTGAGTTATATCCCAGCCCTCAAAAAAAGTTCTATTTAGCATCATTGGCTTAGAAAAATGTAATCTAGAAGGAAACACTATTTGGGGGTTGGTTTCTGTGGTTGTCATTGTCACTGTTTTTGAGACACAGTCTCATGCATCTCAGAGTGATCTTAACTCATTATGTAGCTGAGGCTAGCCTAGGCATCATGATCCTTGTACCCTCACATCCTGAGTACAGAGATAAAAAGCATACCCCATTAGGCCTAGCCAGCTAATTATGAAAATAATTATTGAGCTGGCAAGACGGCACATCAGGTACTTGCTACCATGTCTAATGACCTAAGTTCGACCCCCAGAAACTAACCCCCAAAAGTTGTCCTCTGACTGTGTGTCTCTCTCACACACACACACACACACACACACACACACAAACACACGAATAAATATAATTAAGAAGACTTTTTTTTAAGACCATGGTAACTGCTCTATTTGTGTCACCTAGACAAGGCAAAGCACCAAGATATTTCAAACACAGTCTGCAACACAAAGCTGTGCATAGACAGGGCCTGGGTGGGTCAGTGAAACAGAGCTATAAATCCCAGGACCAGGACTCCATGGTTACAGAGAACCCGGCATGTTTACAGTGGCATAAGTGCCTTTTATGCCTAACGACTACATAACCTAACAAAAGTTATGCAAAACTTAAAACAGGACAGATTTATTTGATCATGAGGGCCCACACTGCATGGACCTGTGTATTCCTGGAGCATGGTGCTCAGTGTTCAGTGGACAGCTGTCAGTTCTTGCCTTGCCCTGCCTGCTCCCCGCTCTTTGGAAGAAGCAGTGTGTTATTTGCAGCTGCCCCACCCCTTTCCTGGAGCCAGGAACAGAAGTACAGAATAGCAAAGTCCTCTTGTTACATGTCAATAGAGTTCAGTGCTGCCCAGACAGTATCTGAAAGCCATCATTGCTATTGTCCTAAATATTCCAAAAGAGCCCAAGCTAGTACTATTTTTTTTAAAAAAAAAATAATGTATACTTTTTAATCTATTGATTTTTCTTTTATTGGTGTCTTGTCTATATGTATGTTTGTGTGAAGGTGTTGAATCCTGGAGTTACACACAGTTGTGAGTTGCCATGAGGGTGCTGTGAATTGAACCCAGGTCCTCTGGAAGAACAGCCAGTGCTCTTAACTGCTGAGCCATCTCTCCAGACCCCCAAGGCTAGTTCCTGATTGTGTTTGTCCACTCAGGGTTCTTCTGCCTTCTTCCAGTCTCTGGGTGCCATTATCCTCAAGAAAGATTTGCCCAGTGTTCTTTTTCTTAATTTGTTTGTTTTATGTGCATTTGTGTTTTGCTATGGATGTCAGGTCCCCTGGAACTGAAATTATAGACAGTTGTGAGCTGCCACATGGGTGCTGGGACTTGAACCTGGGTCCTCTTGAAGAACAGTCAGTCCTCTTAACCACTGAGCCATCTCTCTGGCCCCTTGCCCAGTGTTCTTAAGAGCCAAATAGGGATAATATTTCTTTGCCACCAATGGCATTCCCCACCTTTATCCACATCCATGTTCACCCTCTGTGTGTGCTTGTGTGTGTGTGTGTGTGTGTGTGTGTGTGTGTGTTGGGAGGAGCCGTGCCACGGGGAACATGCAGAGATCATATGACAACTTGGTAAAGTCAGCTATCTCCTTTCCGTTTTATGTAGATTCTGGGAATTGAATTCAGGTCATCAGCCCTGGATAGTGATTAGTCAACTGAGCCAACGTGCTCGTTCTTGTAGCCTGTTTCTGCCCCATCCCCAATTCCTGAGTCAAGTCCTCTGGCTTTTCAATTAAAAAAAAAAATCTAAGCCCTTATCAGTAGCCTTTCAATAAATGTATGAATTGCTTCTAAATGCCAAAGTCCTCTTGTGCTGCAGCGAAGCCTCCTGACTAACTTGCCTCTGATAGAACTTGCAGTGGGTGGCAGTGGCATTTACCTATGTTCACACTTTCCTTCCCATGGCCTGCCGACCTTGCCACTTGGACCTGCTATTCCTCCCCACTAGAACTTGACTCCTCTCTACCAGACTCTCCCTCCAGGGCCAGTGTAGCCTCTCCCCCTCCTCCCTGCAGCTCACTCCCTTCCTCTGACCCCAATCTGGGCACAGGCACTTGTGCCTCCAGGCCATCCTGACATCCCAGCATGGTGCAGCAAGAGAGACTCTGTCCAGGGTCACTAAGGGGCAAGGGGCCCAGAGAGGCAGGAAGGAAGTAGAAACTTCTTATTTTCACGTTTTAATAAGATAAGTTCATTTACTTAGTTCCTGCATTGTGCCGGCCTTGTCCAGGCATGACTCATAGCAATGTTTGGGGCTAGAGCTGGAGAGATGGCTCATGGGTTAAAAGTACCAGACACTCTGCCAGAGGACCTGGGTTCAGTATCCTGCACCCACACCAGTCGACTCACTTCTGTGACATTAATGGTAGGGGATCCATCACCCTCTTTTGGCCTCCTGAGGCACCCACTCATACATGAAGTGAAAATAAAAAAATTTAAATACTTTAAAATGTAGATAATAGTTTCTGCATTTTTTGATGAGGAAACAGGGTTTAAAGAAGTAAAGATGAACAAAATTGATGCCTGGAGCCTACTTGAAAGTAATTGGCTGGAGGCAGAAAATGCCTAGCAGGTCAAAAAGCTTTCAAGATTAAGAACTCAAGCAGGAGGGAATCAATCCCCCAAAGTTGCTCTCTGTTTTCCACACTCCTGATGTATACTATACCTGTGCCTACATGCACACACACACATACACATTATGGATGATGGACATGTATGTATATGTATATATATATATACTCATATATTATGAATATATAAATATACACTATAATAATTTTAAATATTTTTAAAATAATACATGGGTAGAAGGAAGGAAAGCAGAGTAGAGATGAAGCAGAGCTAGCCATGGGTTGATAATCTTCCTAGACATATAATGGACATATGGAAGGTCATTATGCTATATCAAATTTCATGTCTACATTTCGACTTTTCAATTATTAAAAATATTTTCAGGGCTGGGGATGTAGCTCAATAGTAGAATGCTTGCCTACTATGCCTGAGATCATGGGTTAAATTCCCAGGACCAGGAAAAGAAAATTAATTAACAAACAAAACTAAACTTTATAAAGTCAAATGAATAGTAAGTCATATGAGGGCTTCATCTCAGGCTCCCAGCTTTAGTGTCTGCTCTCTCAACTTCTACATGGGGTTTCTGGCAAGGTCCCTAAGAAGACCTAAGTAGAACTCATAAGTGATATTCAGAGGAATCAACAGAGATCAAAAACCTGTTAACTAATTTCTGTTCTTCTTTTCCACAATCAACCCAGGAAATACCACAGTAGGTAGGGGCTGGAGAGAGAGATGATGGCTCGGCAGTTAAAAGTCCCAACTGCTCTTGCACAGAACCTCAGTTTTGTTCCTAGCACCCCCACCCCACAGCTCACCATCACCTGTAACTCCAACCCCAAGGGATCTGATATATCTTCTGGTCCCCTGGATCCCTGCATTCACATGTACACATACCCACACACGGACACACAAACGTAAACAAACAAAAAGCCCGACAGCGGCGGTGGCTTTTTGATCACACCTTTGATCCCAGCACTCAGGAGGCAGAGACAGGCGAATCTCTGTGAGTTCCAGGCCAGCTTGGTCTGCAGAGTGAGTTCCAGAACAGCCAGGGCTGTACAGAGAAACCTTGTCTTGGAAAACAAATGAAAAGGAGCCACGTAGGTCACACACAGCTTAATCCTAGCGCTCAGAAGGCAAAGGCAGATAGGGCTCTGTGAGTCTGAAACTAGTCTGGTCTGTCTAGTGAGTTTCAGGCCAGCCAGGGCTTCACAGTGAAACCCTGAATATAAACAAATAGATGAACCCCCCCCCCCAGCAGTGATAAAGAAAAGACTTTCGATTTTTCTGCCTGTCTTGGAGGAGGTAGAGACACAGCCCCACAGAGTATTTGGCAAACAAAGTTTTCTAAAAACACCCAGCAACAGCTGTCCTTGGTTGTCACTGGACCTGCCAACGCCTGAGTCAGCACCACACCCCTTCTCAGCCTCCCCTGGGAGCCAGAGCTGACTTGCCCTTTCCTGGCTGGGTTGAACAAGTTGGGCCAGCCTAATTCTGCCCTGTCCCAGGATTCTCCTCAGTGAACAGAACCTCCTGTGTGTTTCTGACCTAGGGTCCCCATCCTTGTCCTCTAGTCCCCAGAGTAGTAACCTTGGCCTCAGGTTGTAGCTCCAAACAGGGCCTAAAACCGTGGTTCTCAATCTGTGGCTCTCAACTCCAACAGATA